ATCTCTGGTGAGAAGTTTGTTACTACTTACTCTGCCGGTGGAGCCTGCAGCGCGTGTTTTAGTTAACACACCAGTGCAAGTGGGTCACTGATCAGTCTTAGTTCTGAAATGCGAAATTCTAACCTGATCCAGGCAAAGCAGCCCAGACAGCTTAGGTTGGAGCCTGCTGAGGGCACCAAGCAGTCCAGCACCAGATGACCATCTGGGCTTTCAGCTCAGAGTCCTCCGAATTATCTGGGCTGTCCTGGGGAAATGGCCAGCCCAGGCAAGTGTTCTCGATACAGTTCAACGTGTCAATTTTTCAGCACGCCGTATCGCCGCCGGCTCAGTTCGTCACACAAAAAAGAAAAGATGTGTTTCGGTACCAAAGACACATACAATCTAGTTCTTCTGTCACTATTGAAAAAAAAATGATTCAGATTGTTCTGCCCTTTCAAATTATCCACCGCAGCTGGACTCTACGAAACATTTTTAATTTGATCAGTGCAACGCACGGGTCTGTGGACCCAAACAGAGCACAAGCCGAAGAAATGTAGGCAAGATGGGATTGCACACTTAAGGTGACCGGTGGCCGTCAACTTCGGTAGTTAAGCCCAAATCACATCCACTCTTCAGGGTCCCATACATCTTTGGACGTAGAAGCGCCAAGTTACGCAACATCAGCCAGTCTACTCGCGTAATTCGCAAAAAAGAAAGAAACAAAGAAACAAAGAAAGAAAGAAAGAAAAAGAAAAAGAAAAATCAACCTTTTTAATAATAATAATATAAAATGATCCGGCTTCACTCTCAAATACTCTTGGTTGACGTTATTACAAGTGGCAATAACCGAGTGAAGAATTATACAATATTATGATAAATAACTGAATACTCTTGGTTGAAGTTTGTTATATAATTCTCAAATACTTCTCAAGACATATCATCTAACTCTCACAATCACTTCTCAGGGGAAGGGGCAATAACCGAGTGAGAATTATACTTTTAGTGAAAGATGAATGCATCCTTACCATCCATCAAGACTTGTTATATAATACTCAAAACTCTACACAACATACAGGGATATGAATTCCCTCTTATTTTCTTCAACTAACCAAATAAGGGGTTGGAACTATATATCAAATTCCCATCTTAATTGCTTCCATCAACTCTTATCACTCATTTCCATACTCATTCACATAGTTGCCAAAATTAGTGGTGGGGAGCCACTGCCCGGCCACCCTGGGCGGCCAACCAGGCTCGTGGGCAAAGTTCAAAAGAAAAATTTCTTTGTATCGAAGAGAAACACTGTAATTTGCTAGCTAAATATTTTTATATAAAGAGGATTGTTTGTGCTCTTAAAAGCTTCTAGCTCCGCTACTGCATGGGAAGACAGTGGCGGAGCTTGGACATAAAAGCAGGAGGGGCCAACACAATGACAATAGTAGTCACTTACCAGTATGTCACATAAGCATACTACTTTTACTATGGAGTTTGCGCAAACATAGGGGAGGGGCATGGTCCACATTTTCCCTAATGAAGTCCTACCTCTGCCGGAAGAGTTCAACTCCAGCATTCAACCACTCATGCATGAAAAGTTCACACAACAATCCAGGTGCTTGTCACTGCAGTGAAGATGCCGTTACCGCCGATGAAAAGGACAACACCAGATCAGTGTGTTGACACAAAGATCGGACACAATTTTGGCTATCAACCTAGGGGCTTGTCGAAATTCAAGGAAGCCGTTGCCGTGAAGCTTGATGTTGCTGCTATTGAACCTTGATGTCGCCAGTTCCACAAGTCCCGTTGTTGGCGCTTCCTCATCGGATTCCACCACTGGAGCATACCTCATTTTGATACCACGACAAGCTTTTGAGAGTTTGGGGTGGCTGCGTCCATGGAGAGCAGTGACATCAAGCGAGCAAGAATAGGTGGTGTAGAGATGGAGCAGTGAGGAGCAACGGGCAGTTCAGTGGTAAGGAGCAATGAGCAGTAGTGCAGAGAGAGACAGGCGTGCGATGCGGAGGGGTGATCGCTCGTCAAGGTGATCACAATGGCCGCCCGTTCGGCTTGCTGAAACTTGGCTGAAACACTGTTCGGGTTGAATTGTTGTGAGAGAAAAACATTGTTCCGGCTAAAAAAACAAGCTGAACAAGTCGGTTTCTGGATAAGCCGAACGGAGCTAAGAGGAAAAATTAATTGGAAGAGATATTTTTTTTATTTCTAAATAGATGGGATGCATTTTTAGGACCGCTCTCATCATTAAAATTGCAAAAAAAAAAAATTGTAGCAACTAAAGCCCAAATATTTTAGCACCACTTATATGGACCAGTTGATCAATTCGCAAAAATGACCAGTTAATCCATACGCATTGCCTTCGCCCTAAGGTGTGCCCAACACGACACGTTGACGTGCTGCCCCAGAGGCCACGTCGGAGCCAACAGTCCAAATCACCGAGATTGATAGCCCCGCAGACTGTCTCATGTTCTTGCAGAGCCAGCGGTATCCTCATTTGACAAAAGTTTAAGGCACTAGCTAGAGGAAACATCGTGGGGAAGAATCACTCTGTTGTGACATATAGAAAAGTAGCATGCAGGTGAACAAAGAAAGATTGACTCGTGGGGGCAGCCTCCGTTGAGAGACAATAGCCTTAAATCATCTAAGTCTACGTAGAGTTGGGGCTAACATATTCGACTACCCGCGTTGGGTTTGTCCTAAGTTACCAGTAAAGCTATAAAAAGCTTGACATATATATATATATATAAACATAAATGAAATTTATATTTTCCATCAGAGGAAATACAGTGGTCAGTGCGAATGTACTGGAGGAGACCAGGACGGGCGAGTGGCGACGACGACTATACATGGCCAACCGGACCGCACGGCACGGCACTGGCACGGGCACGGCCAGACACGGCCCGGCCAGGCACGGCACTATGCGGCACGGCAGCTTAGCCGTGCAGTGCCTGATAGTGCCGCCGTGCCGCCGTCTTGGCCCAGGCACGGCACTACGGCCTCTTAGCCGTGCCGTGCCGTGCCGATGGGCACGGCAGCCCACCGTACCAGCTCGAGCACCGCCGCCGCACCGTCGAACAGCAGCCGCGCGTCGTGGAGCACCGCTGTCGCGCCGTGGAGCAGCAGCAGCACGCCGCGCGGACGCACGCCGCCGCCTCCGTGCAGCCGTTGCAGCTGTGGGAGGCGAAGCAAGTGCCCAGATGCCACATGGAGATGAGATGACACGAGAGCGACGCCGCAGCAGGTAACAGTAAAGAAATCTCATCTCAGAAGGAAAAAAATGCAACAACGAACTAGGCCTCGCCTCCTTCCCAATGCACAAGGCAGCAGCGAAGTGCCCCCACCACCGTCGCTGCCCTGCATGCCGCCAAATGAGGAACAAGGGAAAGAAATAGAAAAGGGGAAGGGAAAAAACGGCCTTTCCGCGTCCGGCGGCGAGATCCCCTCGAGAACGCACCCCAGAGCGAGAGGAGATGCCCAAAGATCCCGTCCCACCTTTCCAGTGAAGGAGCATTGCAGATCCTGCACCTAGGCTCGCCATTGCTGCGCCGCCGCTGCAGATCTCGCACGGATGCACCCCTGGTCGAGCGGCCATGGGAGTACTGGAGAAGGGAGTTCGCGCCGCCGCGCCGAGGTCGCCACGCCGTCGAGCCGCCATGGGGAGTACGGGAGGAGAAGGAGGAGCCGCCATGGGGAGTACAGGAGGAGGAGGAGCCGCCGCCATGGGGACCGCCGGGGCAGGAGGAGTCGAGCATGGGGAGGGCAGGAGATGACGGCCACACGGATTTGGGAATTGGGAGTTAGGGTTTTGGTCATCATATACTCTCATCCCATGGCTACGAAATCCCCTGAGTCATCCGATGGCCAGGAATTATCGGGCCGCGTCAGTTTACCAATTTCCGTGCCGTGCCGGCGCACTCTACGGGCCGATGTGGCGGCCTGCACGGCACGACGTCGTCGGTCGGGCAGCACGAGCACGAGGCTTCGCTGTGCCGCACCGGGCTAGGGCCGTGCTTTTTCGTACCGGGCCCATGTCGGCCCAGCGGGCCTGGCCCGTTTGGACAACTATAACGACGACGAGGCCGGTTCAGGAAGACAGGGTTGGTGTGTACTAGTACGTGCCAAGAGAAAATACTCGATACAATCCCTAGCTGAGTAAGAGAGCCCCAATGGTCTAGATAGGTTTCGGGCGCGAGCATAGCTGCACTTGTGTCACGGCGTGTTGGCGCCACCAAACTAATGACTGGTGATCAGGATGGTCATGGTCGTCGGCGTCCAGGGCCGCCAAGGCGCCAACTAACACCAGGGACTCTGGTGCCGCTGATCACAGGCGAAACGACAGCCGCGCGCGCACCATGTCGCGGCCCAGAAACGTCAACGAGTCGCTAGTCTCTGCGTTGCTGCCTTCCGGGTCCCGGCGCAGGCTCATTCTCTGCCGGGGTCCGAGCGCGTCAAGCCATCGTCTGGCTTTCGCCGTGGTAGGTGCGGTTCCCGCCGGTCGCGGCACGGCGCCCCCGCAATTCTTGACCCTTCCCGGAGTCCTTCCGCTCAGGAACCACAACACCAGCCCGACACGGCGACGGCGACACCGCTAACAACACGGCCATTTTGCCAGAACCAACCAAACGGCTCCTCGCCGATTTAAGCCACGTGACTGCCAAGCCGGCCACGCTCTCCCTTCCCTTGTCTCCTCCTCCGCTCCGATCTGCCTGCTGCCGCAGTGCCACCTACCGCCCTCGGCTCGACACCCTCGCCAGTCGTCACCCCGCGAGATGGTCCTAATTTAACCCACCAACCAACCCAACCGCCGATCAACCGCGCCCGCGCACGCCGCTCGCTCGCCCCCGCACTGCCATGGGCCTGGCTCGCCGCACGACGCTCTCGTCGACCCCTGCCGTGCTCCTCTGAGACTGAGAGGCAGAGCTAGCCAGGCAGCCCCTGCTTTGCTGCTTGCCGTGTGTCGGGCTCGGCTTCTCCCACGCGCGGGTTGTTGGATCAAGCTTTGACCAACCATGGCGTCGGTCAGGTCGTGTGTGTCCGTGAAGTCCGCCGTGAGCCCGGTCAGTTACAGATCCACGAGGGCCGCCGGGGCAGCCGGCGTCTCGGGAACGCTGCGCGTACGTTCCCCGTCCCTGGCGCTCGGCGTCGACGGTGGCTGCGCCAGCAGCAGCGGGAGGGGCAGCGTCGTCATCAGTGGTGGCGGCGGTCTCGGCTTGCTCGGCGGCGATGGACCGAGGATCATCAGGCGGGGCGGCGGGCGGGAGGTCCTCGCCATGTGCAGCGCGAGCTTCGACGGGGTCCGCCCCGCCGCCGGCGCCGCCGCCGTGGCCAGCAGCGCCGTTCAGCCCGTGCCGGCGGCGTTCCCCGAGCGCGCCAAGGTGGTGGCGCTGGTGGCGGCCATCATGCTGCTCTGCAACGCCGACCGAGTCGTCATGTCCGTCGCCGTCGTGCCGCTCTCCGCGCAGTACGGATGGTCCAGCTCCTTCGTCGGCATCGTCCAGGTGGATCACCTACCACAGCCTTCTCTCCTCTCCCTCGCCCTCTTTCATCTCCGTGCATTGGCGAAAAGTAGAAGTGAAGCAAAGCCCCTTTTTTTTCTCAAGAAATTAAGCAACACATTTGCTGCCCTGTCGCTGAGCAACAAAATGTGTTGTCTTGAACGATCTGTTCATGGCCATGGCTCAACAAAGTCAACCCTGCATCGTCACGTTAACGCCGGACCGGACGCCATGAGAAAACGACTGAAGCAATACGTTTTGGAAGCACGCGGAACTGCAATGATGGGAGACGGTCGGTCTGCCAGCTTCATACTGTCTTGTGCTTGTCGTGTGCCACGCAGAGCAGCTCCAAGTTACCAAAACGTCACCAGAACACGATAAATTTGAGAATAGGAACTGATGTTTGCCTTTGCTGCGTATCAGGAGCGATAACAAGCAATACTAGATACTTTGCTTGTAGTATTAGTCTTCAGAATACAAATGCATAGGTAAAGTCAAGGCCTTTTCTTTGGAGCAATCCAAAATTATGTACTGAAGGGTCTGCAACTTGATTGGCATCAAAGTTTCCTGATACAGACAGGATTCAGATTCGATGATTGGGCTATTGGAAATGTCCATGTTATTGGGGGTCAAATTTTACCTGGTGACGAGGAACAGGAAGATTGTACTGCGAAAAAAAAAGATAAATAATAGAAACAGTCAACTAAAAGCTGCATGTGGCGTATGCCCTGAAGCTCAATATAAGTTTTAATTTGCTGAAGACTCAAATCATTAAGCCCAAATGCCCAATGCATGACTATAGCTCTGAACAAGCACAGCTATCTTGCTATTAAGCTGATTCACTGAGGTTAAATATTCTCACCATTTTTGCAGTCATCATTTTTATGGGGATATGTTTTCTCATCCATGGTTGGAGGAGCTTTGGCAGACAAATATGGCGGGAAGAAGGTGATGGCAGGTGCTGCTGCACTCTGGTCCTTGGCTACAATTCTCACTCCTTGGGCCGCCTCCCGCTCCACCATCATGTTGCTTGCTGTACGTGCACTCTTTGGCCTTGCAGAAGGTGTTGCATTTCCGACAATGAGCACCTTCTTACCAAAGTGAGTAACAATTTTCACTCATTGAATTTGCTCATAATTGATGTTTTTTCGGTAGCCTTGCTTAAGAAACATTAACCTCTGAAGCTTAAAAGAACTAGTCATAAAAGAAATTAAGAATGTCTAATTGGGGTTTAAATTAAATCTGTTTATTGTAGTCTAGACCCATTCTTTCAAGTGCACATACAAGCCTTCATCATCTCTTTACCATACTTTCTGGACTCTCTGCCTACATTCTTTTTTACTGATATCAATTCTAGTTGCTACAAAGTATATAAAATGAAACAACTGCCCTCTATTTTATGCCTATGTAATTGAACAAGATTTCAGTTTGTGATTTATCTCACATTGAACATGAAACAGGTGGTTCCCAACACATGAGCGTGCCACTGCTGTTGGCATTTCCATGGGTGGATTCCATCTTGGAAATGTCATAAGCTTCCTAGCAACACCGATCATCATGCCATACATAGGCCTCTCGGGAACATTTGTCTTCTTCGCATCACTTGGTTACTTGTGGCTCTCTGTATGGATGTTAAATGTAGAAAGCGATCCTCTTGACAGCCGTACTATAAGCAAGTCTGAGCTGCAACTAATTCTAGCTGGAAGAACTGGATCTAAAGTCCAAGGCAGTAAATTCCCATCCCTAAGGGAATTGTTCTCAAAGACTGAATTCTTGGCCATCACTTTGGCCAATGTGGTCAACAACTGGGTAAGGATGATCTATTAGCAAAAAAAAAAAATGGCAATTCGGTCATATTGTATTGTGTACGAATTTTAACAAATGGAAAATTCAAAATACCATGCAGGGCTATTTTGTCCTATTGTCGTGGATGCCTGTTTACTTCAAAACGGTATGTTATCAAAGGCATTTTAATTTGTACCACTCAGAACTCTAAGCTGTTTCTAACCATAATCCTACAACAGGTTTATAACGTCAATCTAAAACAAGCAGCATGGTTCAGCGCCATACCTTGGGCAGTCATGGCTATGTCCGGTTATGTTGCAGGAGCCTCTGCAGATTTCCTGATCAAATCTGGTTTCTCTATTGGTCCAGTTCGGAAAATTATGCAGGTAAAAAGCATTGCCTGAGATTTGCTGTGGCCTTGCTCTGCTCATAGAATAGACTGATCACTTGCACAACCTGAAACAAAGCACTCATCACAGATCTTATTTTGCTGCAGTCCATTGGTTTTATGGGGCCTTGCGTGTCATTGCTATGCTTAAGGTTTGCCCAAACTCCATCAGTTGCTGCAGTTCTCATGACCATTGCCCTGAGCTTGAGTTCTTTTAGCCAAGCCGGATACTTTTGCAATATACAGGTAATGTTTCCTTTCCTTCGTGGCCTGATCAGTGATCATACCACCTCAACTCCATGAACAATGTTCCAGTTTCTGAACTCTTAAGTGTTAGTTTGGCCCATCTGTTCTCCGAATTGACTGAATGTGTTTTCCTTGTTTATTCGAGCAGGACATTGCTCCCAAATACGCTGGATCCTTGCACGGTATGTAAACTTCCACTCCTCATCAGTGCAGTGCTCAGGCTTTGTATCTGACATATCTTCTGATGCGTGAACAGGGATGACGAACGGCATAGGGACGGTGGCTGCCATAGTTAGCACCATCGGGACCGGCTACTTCGTCCAGTGGCTAGGGTCCTTCCAGGCCTTCCTCACCCTCACGGCGGCGCTCTACTTCAGCGCCACCGTCTTCTACAACATCTACGCAACCGGCGACCTGATTTTTGATTGAGACGAACTTGCTAAATGCTAGTAAAGATTCTTTTGTGCAGACGCAGAATCCCAAAGTGTACCAACATTTATTTGTATCTCCCCAAGAATGGAATAAAATAGAGGTTGATTGTTTGCTAAGTGTAAAAATCGTGTGCAAACATCGCTGCATCTTGCATGTGGGCAAACTACAGACAAGCATTCGGAAAGGACGTGCATGTCAACTGTTCGAAGAAATTACCGTTCGAACGCAGCGCAGATGCGCCGGTGCGCACAGCAGTGGACGATCTGGTGCGAACACCTGCCGTGTTTGGGTGCGGGGGAGAGCGCGACAACGCAAGGCTATGAGCCGACTGAGCGCCGGCCCGGCGGCCTCCGAGGCGCAGTGCTGCCGGAGGTTATGGGTTCCGTCCTGAGTGGCGAGTCACGACGACCCGGAATGTGGATGATGAGTACCGTGAGAATGCAATTATATATATATATATATATATATATATATATATATATATATATATATATATATATATATATGTTAACATATCTAAAGTTTTGACCAAATATATAAATAACAATATTAATATTTATGATGCCGAATAAATATAGTATAAAAATATATCTCATGACAAATTTAATAATACTTATTTGATATTATAAATATTAATTAAAAAATTTTATAGTTAGTTCGTGCTAGAATTACGTTCTTTTATGGATGGACTATTATGGATCCTTGTCCTTATTCTTTACTAGATTCGTGCTCATGCATTGCTATAAGACAGCTAAACTTTTGTACTAAAAACACAATAGCACGATAAAGATGATAAGATAATAATACTATGAAACTAAATACCGGCGTTAAAGTGACATTTAATAAAAAAAAGCAAAGTCCGTGAAATTAATGCAATCACGGAGAGCACGGCATCGTAGGCTCATAAACTCTATTATAGATCTTTCTATGATGCGTCTAAGATAATGTTTTATATCGGTAGAAAGAAATCTCCGATATCCATTACCTCCGCAGAGGGAACATGCTCGTGCGTTGCAACGGGAAAACAGCCACAACGTGCGTTGTAATGGGAAAACGGCTGAAACCTAAGGACTGAACCGTGACACCTTGCTAGTAAACTTTGAACTATGTGAATCTAGGAAACTCTAAATTATATGAATAAATGAATACCATATATCCTATTTGAATTACATTGAAAATGCATGACCTAAAAATGTATATAGACCAGGAAGTTCAGGAAATTTGGAAAATGGAAAACCGATGCAACTATTATTTATGAAACTCTTTGCTGGTCACCAGGTAGTTAAAAAAACTTTGAAAATGCAGCTTGACTACAGCTCCTTCAGACAACACTCTATATCTTTAGATAGAATTGATGTAGGATATATGCTGCAAGACTTTTAAGATCTGATCACAGAAGTCGACAAATAACAATTTCTCACTGATTATCTCTATTTCTAGATGCTAATGCTAATCAGAGTTCGAATGCTCAAATCTGGAAAAGGTAGATCACCTAGCTACACATTAGAGATGCTATTGCTGTCAGTGACTCAGTGGTTGGATTGTCCAACACTAAATTATTACTGCAGGCGGCTGCCTGTTGCAGGCCCCTGACTGCCAGTCGCTTGAGGCTGGCTTCCGTTCTTGTTGCTCCAAAAAAGCATAACAAGGACAAGTTTGAATAGAAGTAACCAAGTAAAAAGGGTCTTCCCATTGTCAACTCTATATAAGAATATGACAATCAGACTGTAGACGCAATCCACTACTGGATGGTAGCAGCTTGTTTCTGGTGAGGCATAATAGCTAACACTATCTAGTCTGTGATGAAACAACTGATTATATCAACAATATATTGTTAATAAATATAATAATCAGTAGTTTCGTTGATGATGGATTCTCATAATATGTTGTAACATCATCACGTTTTTCATAATACTGTGATCTCTTCTCTTTGGACACAAGGGCAGGGTTTCTGAACTTTTTTTTAGAACAAACATAGCTACCATAAAATCATTCAAAGGCGATAACTCAGATTTGTCGAATCCAAAAAAACACGAGTACATGACGACCATACCTGTTGGCGAGCACGCCGGAGCTCCTGCTCCAACTGGCTAAGTTTCAGCCTGCTATTCTCAAGTTGTTCAACATAGAGACAGAAAACAGAAACTAAATACAGTCCTCATGCACAAGGAAAATACTATCTACCATCAGGTAGATGAAACTACCTTCTTTCTTAGACGGCTTTTCCTATGCCAGAATCAGAAGCTATCCTAGTTCCAACTGATAAGTAAACAAGCTCAGTATATCTCAAGAATAAAAGTAACATTACTTGAAAGCAAACTAATTGCTTCTGTTGACACAAGAATGTCATCAGAATGAATTACATCCACATTAGTAATGCACTGACCATCTCTCGTGTTTCTTCTTTCATGCTTTTCTTGGTTGACATATATCTACGTCAATCTGTTGCATGATATATAAATTAGCCAGTTTATTGTGCTATATCTGAAATAAAATCTGCAAATTGGCCTTCAATTAAAAGCCTACCAAGTGTCTCCAAGTTCAACTTTGCGATGGTGTTTCACAAGTGGCAGTAACACCAAAAAACCAAATTCAACAACATACGACCATATTTAGCTAATACCACACCTAGTTGATGTCCGCAGTTAGATATAAGACATCTCAACCTGAAATTCTAAACACATAAGACCATATTTAGCTAACTTCCTCAGCTACAATCAGAATGGCATGTTAAGTATATCAGCTGAAGATTAGGAGAGAAGTTCAGACTTCAGACTATTGGACTGAGACCTTCAGTATAACAATGAGGACTAAGGACAAGCCAGTAGGAAAACTCTATTGCCGTAAAGTTCTAATAAATCGCATCCGCAAAACACCCTAAACGCCCTAAATCGCATCTGCAGAACACCCTAAGCACAGATCCTGACTCGTACAACGACTCAAACCATGGGAATTCTAATGTTCCACTCTACCCGCGGGCTCGTAAGAGAAGAGTTCGGGATCACAGGAGGGAGGGGAGGGAGTCGAGATAAACGAAAAGGATCGCAAGAGCGAACCTCTCCTGGGAGTGACAACGCCGTCGAGGACGGCAGCGTTGGACCCTTGCCATGCCCTCTGCTCACCAGTTCCAGCGTCAGGTCCTTCACCGTGCCGTACCCCGACCTCCTGGTACGAATCCTCTTGCTGCTTCACCATCACCGCAGCGAGACCGAGAGAATACATAGTGAGAATCCTGCTAGGGTTTTATGCCTCCCGAGAAATGGAAAGGAAGGAGGCAAGCGAGGTTACCTTTTCCAGGCGATGCTCAGATCGTGGAGGCGGCGGCGTACGGCGGCGTCAGGGCGACGGAGCAACTCTAGGAACCGGCGCGTCGGCGGCGCGAGCAGGAGGCGGCTGTGCCGGCGATGGTGGCGTGAGGGAGAGGGCGAGGTCTCGCGAGGGCGGTTGCTGGAGCCACGGATTGTATGCCATAGAGAAGCCCCGATCAACGTATTTGGAACCACCTGCCGGCGCAGAGCGGGATCGCAGGGGCGGTCCCACCTGCCGTCGCTGAGCGGGATCGCAGGGGCGCGTGGCAGACCGACGACCCGACGTATGTTGCACGATGATGGTGTCCACGTTTTACTCTTTTTAGTTGTGACGAAGAGAAAACTGAAATTTACTAAGATAATTAATGACTGAAAAATGTGAAATGACTCATTTATCATATTTGGAACTGATCAGTACACGGCGAAATGACCTGAACACCGGGAGTTTTGGATCGAACTGACTGCCAGGCACCTAATGTCAGGTGTTGTACACGAGATCCTGCATGAGACAAACGGGAGGAGAAGGTGCACATCCAGGAATGAGTCAGGTCTATGAACACTCCGCTCAGCCAGACGCAAGCTAGTAGGCCGAGGCTATGCCGCACCCTTCCCCTGCCCTGATTTTCTCAAGAAAAACCAAAACTAACTCAATCATCACATGTTGAACGACTGCAGGACCAAGGCCGGAGAAGTCAGATTGCTAATCAGCCGCATCCCAGGTTGCAAGGACAAGATTAACAACGAGTCGCTGGCTGGCTGCAGGAATTTAGAGATAATTTTACTGACTGGCTGCAGGAATTCACTGGCTGACTGCAGGCAGCCGCCGAGCGCGCGCACCGCCGCGAGGGCTGAGCGCAACGGTGAGGGGCAGAGCGCGACGTTGAGGGCCGCAAGCATAACCCGCATCATCACAGCGAGGGCCGCACGCATGACACGCATAATCACAGCGGGGACGCAGGGCGCCGGCGGCAGTGGCAAGGGGAGGCGCGCGCGACGGCTTGAGCGTCTACACTCAGGGAGCAGAAGTCGCTGGTGCTCACCGGGGTTGTTGCGGTCGCCGCGCCGGCTCAGTTCCTCGCGACGCGGGCGGGAGCGGGCTGAGGAGCGCAACCAGGGAGGCCGTTGCTCTACCCTCACGACGTTCGGGCGGTCAGGTCGTACTGGATCCCGATCTCCCGCCGCACGACTGGGACGACGACAGGGGAAGGCAGGATGCAGTGTGCTGCCCCCCTGCTCTTCCGCCGGCGTTTGCGCGGGTGATGGCGGCGTCGAGATCGCCTGGGAGCTGATTGGGAGGGCGGTTTCCTTTTCTTCCAGATGCCGTTCGCACGCGGGGGGTTTCCTTTTGTTTTTTTTTATTCGTGACATTATAATTCTTAAAGTTCTAAGATTTGCCATTACTGTTTTTCTAACCCGTATCACGCCATTACAATTTTCGCATACATTAAAATATGCCACGCTCTACGCCCGCCGAATGCTTGGCCCCGCTCACAGGCTTACGTGGCATACGCTGGACCGTATCCGTCCGTCTTCCGTTCCTCAAGTAAATGGCTCGGTTACTTCCGCCGTCTCCTCAGTCTCACTCTCCCGCACTCCCCCTCTCCCTTGCCCTCGCTTCTAACCCTAACCCGGCGGTGGTGGTGACTGAAAATATCAGATGCCCAAAAGGAGAGGGATGAATTTGACTAA